TTTATACCTTTTAAAACCTATAATTTATTTTAATATTAAAATGTGAAAATACATAACTTCCCCCAACCAAATGCACCCATAGCTTCACTAACTTTTTTTATTTAAAGTATATTTGATAATAATGACTTATAAAAAAAAATAGAGATAGTCTTCTCCTTTTTTTTTAATTTTTTTCCATCTAATTCAAAATTTTAATTTTTAATTTTTAATTTTTAATTTTTAATTTTTAATTATTAAATCAGCTCTTACGTGTCATTAACTTTGATTGACGAATTCCAAAAGCAACAAGCCAAAGGCAACCCCACAAGGAGGCGACAAATAATTAAATAATACAAGATTGAATATCTGCCCACTTACATTGCACGAGTGGATGATTTTCAGAAGGGTTCTTTGACTTTGGTAATATACAACAAATAAATCCTCAGCTCAGTCGTTGATGAAATTCGTCTTCAACGAATACACATATAGACTACTCTTAATGGACAAAATGAACATCATATCTCACAACCCTCCATCATTGAAAATTAACTTCAAAAATGAGTGCTACCAAAAAATTCAATCCAAGCGGGTTCGTCTTCAATGGATCCGTCTCTCTTCCGTGCAATAAATTGTTGATAGGATGACCAAGTCAGTATTTCTAGAATATACTAGCATGTAAGGATGTTATTAAATTCATACAAAGGATATTGATAAAAAATGAATTTGCAATTCATCTGGAGCAGTGGCTGCGGTCCATAGATTTAGCCTCCAAAGTTGAAAAAAATAATTGTTAATCTACTTCTCGTGAACCAGGGGACTGTAAACAGGGTACCACATGTTGCGAGTGGCATAATCAACCGTCTCATCCTGCATCAAAACTTATATACTTACAACCCAAATATTCATAGATCATCAAATCTGACAAACATGGCCGACAATGATTACATAATGAAAACCCACTATTTAATAATAATAATGATAAACACCTCAACTTTCTAAGCTCAGTTTGTGTTATGATAATGGTATTTTTACCCCTATATTTGCACATTTCAGGTGCGATTTGAGTTTCCTTTAAACGAAAATTTTTTTTATATTTTCCTTTCATAATCATACTTTACTGTTTTAGCATAAAAGAGCATGGAGTTTACTGTTTAGTAGAAAAAAGTTAGAAGGCGAGAAGTTTCATACTTTTAACATGTGCATGAGCTCTTTGGGCCTCACATCACCATGTCCTTCTGTCAATTCTTCACTAAGCCTTTATTTGGAGATTCAGGGAGTTGAGGGGGGAATGGAAGAGAACGAAGGAGATGTCTTTCGTCTATATTGTTTGGATAATTTCATTAATGAAGAGGAATGAGAGAAAGGTCAATGGAGGGGCAATAAACTATTTTCAAATCTCTTATTTTTAAACTCTTCAATTTGAGGATTCAGAAGGATTAGATTTTTTTTTTTCAAAAATATAATTAAAATTTATATTTTAACTTTAATCTTAATATATAAATTTATAAAATTTTAATTATTTTTATAATTATTTTTCTTTAATTTATTTAATTAAATGAAAAAAAATAATCTCTCCCTTCCTTTTTTTCCTCTTTTTTAATCTATCCAAACAAAATTCATACTAATCCTTTACTCTCTTTTCTTTTCTTTCTCTTTATTTTCCCTCCCTTTCCTTCACTTTACTAATTTTATCCAAATATAGTGTAACAGCGGCTTGCAGAACAGCTGTGCCAACCTCTGCTGTAATATGACGAATACTGCAGTGCACAAGTGGAGTCATATAAACATGTTTAGGACCAGAGAATTATGTTTGTAACTTTTTTTGTGTGATTGGCAACTTTCAACATAAATAACAAATGCCATCAAATATTGGCATATCATGTCTTATGACAAAGGAAAATA